CGAAGATGAAAAACTAAAATGTTGTACATTGTATCCACGAGTACAAAAATAGTCACATACATGGAAATCGTACGCGCACAACCCACATATATAAGAATCATCCATCTCCATATACTAGCTTAACATATGTACACACATATATCAACGACAGATATCAAACGATATAACCTGTCTGGCGATGCTGTCTCCCACCATTGAAATGTGCTTGTTTTTCAGTAGGCCTACAACCACCTCTTTGTTATCGAACACCATCAGCTTGCAGTTTGGCGGCTTGAAGGTTAACATATCGCCATCCCAGTGTTCGGGTGTCAGTCCAGCCAGATCGTCGAAGTCACATACACCTATTTGTTGCAACAGCTGATGCCACCCCTCTGCACTTCTGTTGACCGCCAGCGCATCCACTGTAGTATTGCGCTCACTTGATATGTACCATTCATTGTCGACTATTTCAACACTGCCCACCCCCGAAAGCGTTTCAAAATGAGCCTGCAACTCTTCTCGCTCTGTCTGCAGAATTTCTCTCTCTGCGTTCAATACGTTCTGTTGGTCATCCAACTCAGCTCTGATGCTGTCCAACTGTGCGGTGTCATTCTCAATCCTCTCTCTGTCCGCTGCTATATCGATGCATGCTTTCTCGAGGTTGGATGTGCCTGGTGCAGTGTTGCCATCTAATTGACTACTCCCATGTATCTGACACGCTTCCCTCTCGTTAGAAATGATTGATGTGTGGTTGTAGTACACGGTCAAGACTAACATCATGCACACAGCCAGTACCGAAATGCTCTTGCGCGAACGCAGATACGCTGGGACCCGGAGTCCATTGTTAGTTTCAACGCTCATCATTAATCAAGGGCCCATTTCCTGCGCTGAGCTGTATAAGATCACCGCAGTGTTCGTGATTGGGTATGTTGGTTGGGTTGCGATTTTTGTATAATATTAAGTATGTTCCTAGCTAGAGAGAGAGGGAGCTGCATAGCTATTTTCAGACAAAAATAGCAGACGCTATTTCATTTTTCTATGTAAATAAATAAATAGTGACAGGCTCGTTATAGAAGTCGTTATCGCCCGCCACATCTATCCATTTGTGTAGGGTTTCCCCTTCACAGGGTTTCAGCCTCCATACTTGTGAAAAAGAAACAAGCCAAACATGCTTCCAGATATTTTTGCGTCATCACTTTTTTTGGTTCCAAACAACAATCGCGACAATGAAACAAAACAGTCATTCTACTATATAGTGGATTTGGCTACAATACTAGCTTCACACGCGCGCGTACATCAGCTACGCTAACCTCCCGCAACGCAGCCAGTATTGCATCGTCTCTATCTCACCTCGTGGAATCGAGCAATGTCTTCCCTAGGGTCTCTAAAGTCTCTATCTTAGTTCCTACAGAAAGATCCAACTCTCGACATAGTCTCCGGATCTCCGCCATGCTCAAGCCCATCACGTTTCCGAGGTCAGCTGCCTGTAAGTCTACTTATAGTTTGCAGCGTTTGCGAAGTACTGCTATATCTCCTGTGAGAGGTGTTCCTGCAGTACGTAATACTTCCTTACATTTTTCGCCTGTCCATTTACAGCTATTATCCTGTACATATGTCGTCCCTTCTGTGGTGCGGAGTTTCGTAGGCTTATTCTTCTTGTTATTAGCCTTCACCATGCTCAGCGTAATCACCGTCGCCACGCATTCACGATTGAGCAGTATGGACATAATATAACAAGCAATGTTGTAAAGACTATTGAGAAGCGGTGTTATTATCGTTTTGTTCTATTTTCAGGCGGCTACGTATATTCATTTATATTCATGGCCTGTCCCACCTCCCAAGAGATCATAAAACATTACTCCATTTTTTGGTTCTTTTTGGTAGTATTCTTTTTGAATGCCTTCCTTTTTGATTTCCTTCCTTTTTGGTAGCATGAAGCAACAAGGCTATGGTTAAATATGTTTTCGACACCTCCGTACCCAGCCTGCTTTTTGTCAAGAAAGGTAACATACTAAAATCGACTAATAATATATATATCGTCTCTCTCCTTTAATATATACATATATATATATACATATATATATATTATATATATATATATATATATATATATATATATAT